TGTATATATATATATATATATATATGTATATATATAGATAAAGATTAAGGATCACAAATGTAAATATATAGAAAATGAGGGTATGCATGTAAGGAAAAAGCTAAAACTCAAAGCTACCAACAAAAGAATCTACTGCAATCCATCTCTTCCGTCCAAGATAACCTATTTAAGTATATCCTAATCCCCCATGGCCGCCAGCCATTACTCTTCTCCCTTCACTCTTCACTCTGTTACTTCGGCAAAACCTCTTCACTCTTCAAATTTACCCTTCACTCTATCTACATTACTCACATCCCGGCAGCCATGCCAGAGATTTATGAGCCAAACTCTGATACGCGAAGGGAGCAGCTGTACAGCTAATCCCTTTTCTAATCTCAATGCTGCGAAGGAGAAAGTGCTGATTACGTGAAGAAGATTAGTCGTCTTCCTCCTAAGCTTCTCTGGTTTTATCTCCCAGCTTCTGGAGCTATGGAGTTCCGAATTCATGGCGGTTATGATTTCCGACAGGTGCCGAGGTACTTATTTTCTTCATTTCTTTTGGGATTTAGTGGAAGGATGAAGTTTCGCTGAGGAATTTTTCCGGAAAAGGATTTTAATTCATTTTCTGATAGAATGTCAACTGTTTTTTTGTCTTTTTTTTTAAAAAAAAATTATTCTCTTTTTTCTGTATCTGAAGTGCATTTTTTTCAAAGGATTGTTGGCTTCTAGAAGTAGAGATTGCTATTATTGTAGGTTGAGACATGATTTCTTCTTCTAGGGTTTTTTGCTTGTCCAGAAGGGGGCTTTTGGATACAATTAGGGTTTAACTCAACTAGGGTTTAGTAAAAACTGAAATTCCAAATCTAGGGGCTGTCTGGTAAGAGATTTAAGTTGAATTTAGCTTAAATCTTGCCAGAAAGAACAAAGTGGCAACTTTTAAGTCCTGAATCTAGTAAATCCAATTTCTTCTCAGTTTTCACTTAAGTCTTGAATTTATTAAATCCTACTTTCAGGAGGATTCAGTAAATCTGGATTTATAGAATTTATTAAATTCGTTACCAAACAACCCCTCAGTAAATCATGAGTTATTATTATTTTTTTTTTTGGCAATTTTGTTTTTAAATTTTTATTTTAGATGTCATTTCTTCTCATTGTCTTATAAAAAGTATTCTCTGACCTTCTTTTCTCATATATGTGAATTGTTTTCTCTTTGAAGCCTATCTTAGTTGTTTCATCTTTAGCCAAATTATTTTCTAATTACACTATATCATCAATTTCTAAAATAAATTTATCCTTCAGTCACCTTCTAGCTGAGATCTTCTCATCTCCATGAGGAAGGAATTGAATTTTGATAAAATCAGAATAGGATTGTCAATGGACTACATAGATAGCAGTGAGTTAAAGCTCTTGGAGATTTCTCGAGGAGTTCGGAAACTAACCCAAATGATCGAATCATGGTCCAAAGCTCCAAATCTCGATTCTCCATCGAAATCTATCGCAAAGGATATACTGAGAGATTCCTTAGCCCTCCATGAATCCTTAGTAACCGTCAGAAGGCTGCAGAAAACCTCGAGAATGATGTCCTTCATGGAGCAAAAGCGTGAATTTTGCTTCGCTAACGAAAAAGAGGTAGAGGAAGAAGGCAATGCCATCGAACAATGTGGTTTGGTAAGATTTGGAGTAGGTATTTATGATGATATTATCCATAGTTTATTCACTAATGGCTCTTCAAGGAACCATTTTTATGAGAAGAAGAGCTCCATCAGTGATAAATTCAATAAGCAAGAAGTTCCATCTCAAGCTGTTCAATCAATAAAGAAAGATCAGAAGAGTGATAAGAACTTTTATGAACAAAGTGTTGATTATGAGAACCTGACGATTAAGTCGTGCTTCACTGACTACGCACGAAGAACACATGAGAATGGAAGCGAAGCACCAAACATTGTGATCATGAAGCCTCTGGAACCAGAAAATGAGAAGAAAGGAGAAAATCACAAGAAGAAAGAAAAAATTCCAGCTGATTTGGCCTTAAAAAAGGAGATTTTTGGCGATCGAGATAACACAAAGCGAAGGAAAGTGGTTAAGAGAATGAACAAAGCTTCTGGAACTCATAAACACTTGAGAAAGGAATCAGTGGCTGTAGATTCAAATAAAGTTATCATCTTGAACAGTAAATCTCCTCAAGAGAGAAAGGAAGTTAAGGTTAACAAAGTTTTATTTTTTCAGACTAAAAGAATCCAAGAACCGCCAGCGAAGCCCGAGAAAAAGCTCGCCGCCGCAAAAGGTGGAGCTCGAGCTGTCTGTATTAAATCTAAGAAGACTGTATCGACCACTGATGTGAAAACCATGATGAAGAATTCTGCTACCTATTTAATCGATGATAAGAAGAAATGGGAAAAGATTTCTGGGAGATCAAAAAACATCAAGGTAACTTCACATCCTCAGAGCACTTACCCGCGAAATAATAGTCGGAGGTGTAGTTTTCGACTGTGAGATTGTGGGTTTGAATCACACATTGTTCTTTGAGCTCACTTTTCTCGAAAAAAAAACCTCTCATCTTGTCTCTTATTGATCCTTGCCAAAGTATTTATTGAATGAAGGGAAATTTACATACATACATACCACACAATTCATCTGCTTTAACACACCTAACATCTAAAAGTTTATATTTAAATTTATAACTCCGGTGTGATGAACCTACGCATGAAAAGCTGAACTTTTAAAAAGTTAATAGCAGTGGTATTTCTTATGGTTGAAGAGAGATGCATAATATTTACCAGTATTTTTTTTTAATATTTATTGCCCTCAGAATTGCAATACAAAGTGCAAAGGAGATAGCGGAAGAACTGAACCTAACAACAAGGTGAGTGTTTTTCGGCGGAATTTAAGCACTCCATCCATTCATGGCTTCCCACAACAACTTGCAGAAGGCTCTAAAATTGGCTATGGAGGTAAAACCATAATTTCCTTATAAAGTAGTATTATTGTGAATTTTATTTGCACTTGGAAGATTTACATACATATCACTCAATTTCTATGTATTTACATATCTAGCACCCAAACTTCAAATTTTACTTACATACCACCTTACCTATGCATGAAAAAGTATTTGAAAGATTTACATAACACTTAATTCTATGAATTCACATATCTAATACCAAAATACGAATTTTTACATGTACTATGCATGAAAAATTATATGTCATTTTTTAAAAGTTAAAATAGTGGTATTTATTTTTTTAAATGAAAGAGTTGCGTGGTATATATGCAAAAAGTAAAATTTGAGTGTTAGATATGTAAATGCATTAGGATTTAGGAGGTATGTATGTAAACACCCCACTACTTTTTAGAAGTCAAACTGTTGGAATTTTCGATGTTATATGAAACATTCAGGTGGTATAAATATAAAAGATATGTAAATACATAGGAATTATGTGGTATGTATGTAAATGCCTCTATCATTTAGCCATTGCTAATCAGCTAAAATGATGGAATTATTATATTTTTCTGTAAAGAAAACACGGTAATGGTATCAAAAAACTCTTTTTGAAGTTATCCCAAAGGATATCAAAGGTGGCAAGCACAGACTATCAATAAATCATAATCAAACGCCAGCTTTAAAAAAGACAACTGGAACTCAAGAAGACATCAAACTGCTGCTTCTAACCAGCCCAGATTTCTTAACTGAAGCAGAAGCACTTTTCGGATTCGATGTTCGAAAACATCATGCTAAATCCAGTCAAAACCGTATTTTCGAACCATTTGGAGCGAAAAACCCTCACAAACTTCTGATTGATTGTGCCATGGAGTTCATGGCTAGAAAAATTTACCAACTTGGCCTCTTGAATCATCCTATCTGCAGAAATTATATACAGAATTCAAAATTTCTGACATCTTTAGAACAGTTAGTGGAAGATATCAGTAATGGTGTGAAGGAAATGAATGATTATTACAGAACTGAATCAGAAGATGATTTTTATCTGAGATTGGAAAGAGATTTAAGGTGCAAAAATGTGTCTTTGAATGCTTCATGGGATTTTGGATGGATTTGTAGTGTTTGTGGGGAGGATTTTGGGGCTGTTGTTGAGGAGATGGGGGATGAAATAATTTGTGGGATGGTTGGAGAGGTTGCATTTGATTTGGTGCATTAGAATATAGGAAGATTTACTTACATATTACTCAATTCTTATATATTTACAAATTATCTAATATTTGATTTTTTTTTTACATATATGCTTCCTTACCCATGCATGAAAAGGTGTATTTTGTTTTTTAAAAGTTAAAATAGTGATATTTTTTATGTGATAAGAAATATTTGGGCGGTATAAATGTAAAAAATCAAAGTTTAGGTGTTAGATCAAAGTTTAGGTGTTAGATTCAAAGTTTAGGTGTTAGATATGTAAATACATAAGAATTGAGTGGAATGTGTGTAAATGCTTTGTATTTCCTTTATTTTTTATCCATCATTGTATAGAAGAATTATTTTTTTATCTAATAAAAAGTTTTATTTTAGCTCTTAGATTAACTGTTCATGCTTTTTTGGTGCAGCAACTTGGTTATTGTTGTGATGGTTTTTATTTTTGTTTGGGATAATTTTTATTTTAATTTTTTGAAAATATAATTATTTAGTGTATTTTGTCATATTTTCATTTAATTCTAATAGATTAAAATCATTTTTTATACAATATACCCAGTTTTTTCAGGTCCGCTTATGTCTTTCTTAACATAAGTCGAATATAAAACATCCACCGGATCATTAGATGGTGGACGGTTGATTGGTTTCTTAACATAAGTCGAATATAAAACATCCACCGGATCATTAGATGGTGGACGTTTGATTGGACCAAACCATCTAACACTACTCGCTCTAATTTTGTCTGCCACTGGAGCTACAACACCTCTATCACGAATATATTCATTTCGCATTTAAAATTTTTATATCTTTATCATTTTTTTAAAAAATGAAGTTATATATATATATGTATATTTATATATATAATGCTCAAAATAACTCTTTTAAAAAAATGAAGTTTTATATATATTTATATATATAATGCTCAAAATAACTCTTTTTGGATCATATCATATATATTTTATTTCAAATCAAAACATTAAAAAAATAAATAAATAAAAGTTCTCATATATCTACTTAATAATTTGTTGCTTTATTTATTTATTAGTTCATGATGTTTTGACCGAATTTTTTATCACTATGAGCCTTAAAAAAATATATATTTATTTAAAATGAGGAAAAATTAGATTTAATGATTTTGAGATTTGCCTGGAATAAAAATTTGCTAGAAAGGAGTTAATTTACATACATGCCACACAATTCTTATATATTTACATATTTAAAACCAAAATTTTCTTATTTACATGCAAACACTCAAAACCTCAAAAATAAAGGTAAAAAACACATTTTCATGCAAGGACTCATGAAACCAAAATATTATAAATCTAAATATCAAACTTTAGATATTACATATGTATATAAATACTATTTTAAAATGGAAAAAAAATTTACATAAATGCCTAAAAAAAGGAGGCATTTACTCTGCATTCCACTCCATTCTTATAAATTAATATAAATAACATCTAAACTTTACTTTTTACATTTTACCACCCCAATCTTTCACATCAAATCAAAAATACCAGTTTAGGTATAACATATGTAAATACATAGGATTTGAGGGGTATTTATCTAAATTTTCCAAAAAAAAATAATAGCTGCAAGAACAAAGAACAAGTGGCAAGAAAAAGGGCCAAACAAAGGTCATGCATTCACATTGAATAATTTAACCAAATCCATTACAGAAAAAAACACTAGTTTTAAACACAAAAACCTCAATTTTATCTTCAACAAAAGAGAACCAAAGAACACGAAAAAGTGGTGAAAGTGTGCAAAACAACTCTAAAACCAATCTAAATGCTGTGTTCAGCACAGTAGAAAAATGCCAGATTTTCTACCTCACTTGGCCTTCTTCACAAGCATTGCAGTCCTGTATTCTGCATCTGATTTTATGAAGTTCCACCAAAGATAGGTGAGGGGAATGGTGGTTGCGTGCCACATTGCGTGCGCGTCCACATATCCGCTATAGGGCGAGAAATCGTAGATCTCAAGAAGCATGGCGATGGCACCTCCGAACACGACGGTCCAGAGCTTGAAGCGATGAGGGTGACGCTTTATACCGGCCCAGATCGCCCACACGAGCAGCTGAATCATGCCCATTACGATGCACACTTTCATGTTCCACCCTGCAAAACCAAAATCAATGACGTCGAGAGTTGTTTTGCACACATACCATTCAATTCCTATGTATTTGCGTATGCAACACAAACTTCATTTTTTACATACATACCAGCTTACCTATGCATGAAAAGTTGTATTTCACTTTTTTAAAGTTGAAATGGTTGCATTTTTTGTGTCAGTGGTATAAATGAGAAAAGTAAAGTTTAGGGTTAGATATGTAAATACATAAGAAGTGGGTCGCATGCATCTTAATGTCCCCTTTATTTGGGTGCTTAAACCTCTTCCTAGTAAAATTTTTTGAAAAACTTCTATAATTGTTCCCCAATGTGGCATAAATTTTAACTGCTCTAATGAGTTAGTGTATATTATACCAGCTGATATACATTTGGTCAGACATGTATAAAACAATATGTAAGATGCAACCATTAGATGAGCAATAAAAATTAGAGCTTGAGGATAAAGAAAAGAAATATTTAGACATAAAATAACATGATATTAATTGTTAAAATAGATTTTCCTAAGCCAAGCTTGACATCTCATATAGTAATACATAGGAAAGAATGAAAATGACATTTGTTATAAGATGGTTAACATATAATGATGAAATGGAAACCAACAGTAGATCAACAAAACTTTACCATAATCAAGTTCATAGAAGTTAAGAAACAGTATGTGTGTCGTCACAAAAGCCAAAATAGGGGCTGCAAACATAACCCTCGTCGCTTCATCCTTCACCTCAAACGTCCGTAGCAAAGATAGAATCAAAGAGTACCCAAGTAAAGCCACCGCTGACGAGTAATCTAGTTTTTCCGTCATTTCAAAGTCTCTGAGAATCATACCATTAAATATTACTCTTAATGGGGGAGAGGGTGAATAGAACAGACTCCGTGTCATGATTAAGATTAAGAAAAATTTACATACATAGCACATAATCCTTATGTTTTTACATATCTCACGCCTAAACTTTCTTATTTACACACACATCAAAAATAGCGCTAATGCAGCTTTTTAAAAGCAAAATACACATTTTCATGCATAGGGTTAGCACCAAAGTGCTATGTGTGTAAGTATTAAAGTTTAAATGTGAGATAAGTAAATACATAAGAATTGTGTGCTATTATGTAAATGCCCCTAATACTAATGGCTTACCTTGTATGGAAAATGGTACTCCATAACCAGGCATTCATGGATAAGAGACCATAGATATGCCACAACCCAGTGTATTCATAGTAAGTCCTCTTGCTATGAGGCCTAAGGGGAAGTTTGTAATTCACCAAAACAAAGAATGAGAGCCATCCAATGAAGTGCGTCATTAGATTCAGTGCAGACAAGGCGGCTGAAGCAGGCTCCTAGCAAACAAAAGTTACAAGCAGGGAAGAACATTGTTAAAATTTGCAGATTGAGGAGCGAAAAAATTCACAAAAAAATCAGTAAAAATACAGCACAATCTGAACAAATTGCAAAAAAATGAACTTGTAGATTTTAATAGAGGAAAAAGTGTCAATATGGTCCACCAAATCTTTACAGTGGTTCATTTTAGCCTTGTAGTCTATCCAAGTGTCAGTTTAGTCCTCGAACTCTTTTAATAGCAGCTATAGTCTTAATTGGGAGACTCTTTCAGCCCATATTAAAAAAATGTGGGGACCAATTTGAAACTTTTATACTCTAGGACTAAAATGATCCCATGTGAATAGTCAAAGGATATGATTATTTTGGCACTTCACTCTTTTAATAAAATTAAGGGGCATTTATATACATAGCACACAATTCTTATGTATTTACATATCTCACACCTAAATTTTCATATTTACACACACAACACTCAAATTTTGGTGAGATATGTGACATAAGACTTGTGTACTATGCTATGTATGTAAATTTCCCTAAAATTAAAAAGAAATTACAACATCATCCGGGATATTATGGAAATTACAGACCTGGAAGACATAGATACGCTTGAAAGGCCATTTTCCATGATATTTAACAGGACTGAGGCCAAGACCCTCCCTTTCACTTTCTCTTTGGATCATGCAATGATAGGAGCAATCACTTCTGCAATTTAATTGTTTCCACTGCAAATAAAGTGGTTCTTGCATGTACCATGTATTATTAACAGCCTCATCATTTGAAGAGAACAAACAGTGTGGGATAGAGATGTCTCCCACATTTCCTGTCTTTTCACACTGTTCAACACAGGTTCTGGAGCAGACAGGAGTGGTAAGTGTAAAATGGCAGTTATTTTTTGTAAAAACAGGTTTACAATAGGAACAAACTGCATAAAACATGGTACTAATTACAAGCTCAAACAAGTTGGATTCTGTACTAATTACGTAATGCAGCAAAATAGTCCCCCTAAGCGTTCATGTGGGGTCATAATCTCCGTGTCTATAAAAGTGTCAAACTAATCCTCAAACTCTCTAAATTGATACTTTTATATACTACGGGATTAAAATAACCCCCTCCAAAAAGACGGGGACTCTTTCAACACTTTTCTCTAATTACATCTTAATATTAAAAAAAAACAAGTTGAAAGAAAAACATCTTGCTAAAAAGAAAATACTTAAAAGTAATTCTTAGATAGCTTAGAATACTTAATAGAAAACCAAAACATTGAGCAACAAGGACTGTTATATGTAAAATTTGGAGCAGTTAAATATATCCTCGACATTATCAAATTTCCAGATGCTTCAGCCGTACAACGTTTCGCAAAGCAATTTGACCTTTAATTGCCGGTTTAAATACCTTCTAATTTGAATATAAAGCTTAGGAATATTTTGGAGAAATTTTGATTACCAATCAAAATCCTGAATTATCTAATTGGTGATGACTTAAAAGAGCAGGATGAGGTTGAAGCATCAAGTTCTAAGTCGGCCATAAATTCAAGGGGCATTTACACACATTTCACATAATTCTAATATATTTACATGTATAACACCTAAACATTAATATTTACAAGCATATCACTCAAATCTTTAACATCACATCAAAAATACCACTAGCACATCTTTTTAAAATTGAAATACACCTTCTCATGAATAGATTTATGACATCAATGTGTTATAATTGTAAATATCAAATTTTTGGTGTTAGATATGTAAATTTCCCTAAATTCAATAACTATTGAAAGATTGCTCACAGGAGGCAACATTGTGCTCATTGTTTGGAAAAACAAAAAATTTGCCCAAAATAGGCACTAAATGTTCCTCAAACAAAAAAAAAAAAAATAAAGACATACAATCCATCTTTCAATGATTTATTTCCCATGGGACAAGTCTAATGGGAAGTTTGTATATTGAAAAATGCTGATGATTTGAAAATGACTAGAACTGTGGTTAAAAAAAAAGATGTTCATTTGCTAAGGAATCGTTTGGGATTACTTTTATATTTTATTTTCCATTTTTTTTTATTTTTCTCATTTTTTTATATTTAAATTTGAAACAAAATATATGTGACATGTTTGATTGATATATGGTTGTTTTAAAAAATACTAAAAATATTTAAAAATTATTTTGAGTATTTTCAAAAATACATTAATTTAATGTTAGAAACAAAAATAAAAACACGTAAAATACACAGTAAAAAAATATAATTGATCCCAAACATACCCTAAGCTATGCTATTTGCCTTTAAGGCTTCGTGTGGAGGAGCTTTTATTTTTATAAAAATTTGTTGAAAAATCGTATCTTAAAATTATTCAAAAAAACGCATCAGCTGCTAAAAGAAAAAAAAAAAAGAAGGCTTTTCAAAAGTGTTTCTATAGAAGTATTGAAGCAAAACATAACTGTTTGACTTTCTGTAAAATGGAAAGCAATATAGAAACTCTTCCAAACAGGGCCCAAGTTTTACCTATGTTTGCAGCGTTAAAACTCATTTTCACAAAAAAGTAACTTTTTTGCATAACATAAGACCTTCGAAATTGAGAAGCTTGGGAAACATGTAAACACGCCTTCCAAAACAAAAATCTTGCAAGCTATGTTTGTATGTTTGGCACATAATTGTGATTAATGATGTCCATGAATTTCATATCTCTTTGAAGGAAACAAAATCATTGCTCCAAGGATGTCCAATGATGCTCATTTTGCTTCCAGAAATATAAAACAATTGTCACGTGTAACTGATGGAAGGTATCTAATTAGCACTAAGGTTCCGTGCTTTCTAAAAATTTAGTACTGATATATGAAATAAAAATTACTTTTTTATTATTATTTTATCAAACAAACTACAGAAATGGATCAACCCAGATGTTATTAAGAGAAGGGGATAGGAAAGAAGTATGAGAAAGAAGAAATAGTAAAATTTTTATAAAGAAATAGAAGAAAAAAGACCTATACCATATGAAGCATACAATAAGATGTGTGAGTATGATTATATGATTTTATAAGCGTTAAAAACAGCAAAGAATACATCTAAAATGTCATGCTTCTTCATATGTCATTTAACAATGCTTTGCTCAAAAAGCATAAAGTATTTTAATAAAACCACAAGCTGGTAATCAATATCTTTATGCAGCTCCCAGTTTATAGATATATATCCTGAGAAAAAGGCACATTGACACACAGCTCCAGGATGAAGAGGAGATAAACGGGCGCATGCTCATACATGCTCGTGCATTGGAATTTATCCCATAAAAATAAATAAAAATATGTTCCGAAAGCATGACAACAATGTAAGTGTTGAATAACCTTGTAAAAAATACAAATTCCATATTTGAAATTTGCAAATGCTATAATTTAATAAATTGTTGAATATTACATCTATCAAGGCTATATGATTATAGGATAAGTCATTGGTCCAACAACCATTGAAAAAAGGAAGAGAAAAACATAAATCTTGTTAATTGTATGAAATTTTATTATATTTCTTACTTCAAAAACTGTTATCATCATATATAAAGAGATGGCCCAAAATATAATCATCTAGTGAAATAGAAAACATATTTGGACCATTTGAGCTCAGGCAAAAATTCCATAAATAACCATCAAATCAATCAAAGAACTAGCTAGACCATAAATGAATTTTGGTTTGATTGTCAGAATTCATTTCCCTTTCAAATTACCAGACCATATGCACAAAAATCTTTGAAAACAAGCTAAATTAATGAAATATTTGCCTGCCCACAAATGGTCCAAAATCTTGTTAATTATATGAAATTTTATAATATCTCTTACTTCAAAAATTGTTATCATCATATGTAAAGGGATGGCCCAAAAATGCAATCATCCAGTGAGATAGAAAACATATTTGGACCATTTGAGGGCAAGCGTAATTTCCATAAATAACCACCCAATCAATTAAGTAACTACAACAACAACAATAATAACAAGCCTTTATCCCACGAAGTAAGGTCGGCTGCATGAATCCTTTTTCTCGATTGCATCCTATTGAGTGTCATGTTTTCATTTAATTTTAATAAATTAAGATCATTTTTTATACAATATGCCCAAATTTTTCTAGATATACCTCTGTCTTTCTTAACATAAGTCGAATCTAAAACATCTACTCTCCTAATCAGATCATCAGATGGTCAGATTTTAATGTGACCAAACCATCTAAGCGACTCTTTCTAATTTTGTCCGCCACTAGAGCTACACTAACCCTATCATAGATATATTCATTTCATTTTTTGTTTCTAAGTGTAAAGCTACTCATCCCTCTAAGCATTCTCATATCGACAACACTTAACTTAGTTTTATGCTTCTCTTTTAAAGGCTAACATTCAGCGTCATAGAGCATTGCAGGTTTCACCACCATCTTATAAAATTTTTCTTTTAGTCTAAGCAGTACTTTTTTATCACACAATAGGCCTGAAACATTCCTCCACTTCAAACAACCAACTTGAATTCTACTAATAGCATCCTCATCTATATCATCATCACTTTGAATAATAGACTCGAGATATCTAAAGCGTTCACGCCTTTTAATAATTGCATAGTTAGAGCTAGATCCTAAGACCCTAGAAAAGGAAATGACCTCAAAATTGAGGTTAACAATGTATTCAGTTTTAGTTCTACTTAAACGAAGAACTTTAGACTCCAATGTAGACCTCCATAATTCAAGTTTTTCCCGGGCTTTTTCTTCTTAGGCTTTCTCCCTAGTCTTATCCACAAGAAGAATATCATCAACAAAAAGCATACACTAAGGTACATCCTCCTGTAAATGTCCAGTAAGAGCAACCATAACCAAAGCAAGAAGATATGGGCTTAAATCCCATCCCTAATGTAATCCAAGTGAAATAGGAAAATATTTGGTCAATCCTCCTTCTGTTCGAACACAAGTTACAACTCTAGTATACATACCTTTAATAACTTGAATATAAGTCATACCAACACCTTTCTTATCTAGAACTCTCCAAAGGATACCTCTTGGAACCTTATCATAAGATTTCTCATAATCTGTTGGATTTTTGTCTAAATCAATCAAAATCATATGTACATTCTTCTATTCTCTCTGTACTTCTCCATCAAACCTATCAATAAATGCATAGGTTTCATAGTAGACTAGCCTGACATAAATCCAAATTGATTATGAGAAATTTTTGTAATATGTCTTAGCATATGTTCAATTACCCTCTCATAATTTTAAAGTATGACACGTCAACTTAATTCATCTATAATTTGCACACTTTTGTGCATCTACTTTATTCTTAAAAATGGGGACCAAAATACTCTTCCTCCACTCCTCAGGCATCTTTTTAGTTTTTAAAATAATATTAAAGAGTTTAGTAAGCCAAGAAACTCTCAAATCTCCTAAATATTACCTTCAATTGAGATATCATCAGTTTCTACAGACTTTCCACTATTGGTTTTCTTTAAAGCCTCCTCAACTTTTTTTTTTACTAATGCGATGGTAAAAATGAAACATTTTATTATTATTACTAAGTTATGTATATAGTAAGAGGAAACATATTAACATCATAATCAATTGATACATTAAAATTTAATATATTAACATTCGAATATAGCGAAAGTAATCAATTGTTCAAAGTAAGAAGTAACCTATAAACATTCAAATATTAAATTATTAAATAGGAATAGTTAAACAAACATCAAAATAAGACATAATAACATACAACTTAAAATAAGTTCAGCACAAATAGTCCCTCTCTCAGTTCTACCATCCTCCATAAAAATAAAAACATAATAATTCACTAAGGTTAGAATTTTTAATTAAAAAATTTTGCATCACTCTTATTACTTAATGAGCCTTTATTGGAATCATCCGCATAGAAAATTGATTTCTCTCTCATTTTATCTTCAATTATATCCATGCTCTCCCATTTCTCCTACTCACCTTAAATCTAAGCATCTTCCTCTTATTTAATAAATATTGATATTTATAAGATTTCTAATTAATGACTATGTTGGTAGTAACAACGAAGTTACATCCTCAATTGTATATTATATGGATAAGCAATGAATGTTTATAAGTGCTATTTTACTTATATTTATTTTAAGAAAGATTCTAGATCTACTAGTGCACGCCTCACCAGAACTAATGCAAGCATAAATTGAGGCGGGACTCGTATTATGTGGGTCTTAAACCTCATTATGAGTTTTTCAAAAAAATATTGAGGCGGGCTTCATATTGTGCAATTTTTAAATCACGACCTCACTTGCACAATAAACTGCAAGCTACACTAAATTACCAAAATACAGCCTATTGATTCACTTAATCCAATCAATGTGAGCTCCTAGATTTGCAGTGTGTTTCAAAAGTGATAAAATTATTATTTGCAACAAACACCCAATCTTCAAACAGAAATTAAATCCAATAAATTAGATTCTGGCTTCCCTCTGTCCATAAAGGAAGGTTTAAAAGAAGGTTTTTCATTAACTATATGGATTGACATCTTAAGTTCCACTATCAGCAACCTTTCATACGAGTCAACCAGAAATGAACTAATAAACTCAGAATTCGATAAAAAGATATTCCCTTTATCGCTTTTCTTCCCTATACAAGAAAACTTCTCCAAACACAGGGAGATGAATCTGATAATCCTAAATAACTACTTTTCTCATTCATAATCCGAAATTAACGTATAATCATAATTTCTGCAACAACAACAACAACAGCGCAACACCCAAGAAGAATCATAGAACATTTTTCAGATCTATAAACATAGACGAGCAAAGAATCAAACAGTAGACAACGTGGAAGTGGGAGGGGTTAACTTACCTATAGATCGGATCAGCATCGCCGGCGCTGGCGTGAAGACCTCCGACAAGAAATCCGAAAAGAAGAAGAAGAAGAAGAAACCACTGACCCGTCATCTCGATCGAGAGGAAGAATATGAGAAAGAGAAGGTCAGGGTTCCCAAACGGAGCTCCAAGGATGCGGGTCAAGGAAGAAGAAGGGCTGACTCCCACCGGCCTGAAAAGCGATGCTATAGGATCGTGATACAACTGCTAGGAGGGCCGGAGACGACTGAACTCCCGCTGAAGATAGGTCTGCGAGAGAAAAAAAAAAGGGCTGTTTGAATGGATAGCAACCTGAACATAGACATTTACAAATCTAGCACCCTCTTTTCATCCAATTTTCAAATTCTCCCTTCAATATCAAAACGCATGATAAAACCCAGTGAAAAAAAAAACAAGTTTGGGGAAGAAAATGCAACTCATTGTGAATCTGAAAGTTAATTAACATAGCTCAGTAAAAAAATTCAATTTTTATTTGGTAAATAGCTTATTGAAAGCAAGGAAATGTCATTCAGAAAAGATTAAATTTTTTAAGTTAATAATCATGTTTATAACTTAATAACTTTAAAATTTACTAAAATGAACACATAGATTACTAAAAAAAATGTAATTTAAGTGCTAAATGGTAAAAATATCAACTAAAGGTTAGATTTTGCAAATAGCAATGCTTCCGGTGCTATTTCTATAATTATCCCAAAAATTAAAATAATAATTGAAGTCAAATTCTAAAGTCAAGTATGATGCAACCAAACTGATGACTAAATTATTTTTTTGTAAGGAGATAGATTAATACAAACTTATTTTTTTAATTTTATCAATATTAAAAGCCAAAAATAAAAACAAAAAGTTAATAAAAAAATCTTTTTTTTTTCTTACAAATCTAACAATTTGGCCTTTCAAAGTTTCAATATTTTCTTCCCCTAAAAATATAAATTAAATATATGTTATGTAAAAATTAAATCATGATCAAAAGAAATTACTATTTAATTTTCCCAAAATAATGTAGTCTAGTAAAGAAATAAATGAGAGAAAGTTATTGCTTGATGTAATGATTAGGGTTTCAATGTTTCTCAATGATTGAAGAATTTTTACCAAACACAAGGATGTTTGTGTAATTAAAGATATAGTTTCCACTCTTATGAACTTCAAAGGCTTTATTCCTTACAATTTTCTATAATTACATATAAAAGCTTCCTCATTTGCACCTTTAACCCTCATTAAGCTCTTGATATTAGTGAGTTTATAGGGGGAGTGTGTGTGTGTGTGTGTGTGTGTGTAAGGCTTTCTTTTTTACATTTTTCTATTATTACATATAAAGTTTCCTCATTTGCACCTTTAAGCCTCATTAAGCTCTTGATCTCAGTGTTATGAGGGGAGAGAGTATATGTATGTAAGGCTTTCTTCCTTACAATTTTCTATAATTACATATAAAGTTTCCTCATTTGCAACTTTAACCCTCATTAAGCTCTTGATCTTAGCGAGTTTATCAGGGGAGAGTGTGTGTGTATATAACACCCCGCATTTGGATGATCGTACTTCTCGATGATGAATGGCAGCAATGGCCAACACCACTTTATGTAGTATATTTGAAATTCAGTTAAATTCACCAAAATTTAAATTCAAAGAAATAGACTTACGAATGATTTATTAATTCAATCCAATTTTACATTGTATTTGTAATTCTTCTTACCACACAATAGAATTCTTAAAGCTCGTGTAAAAAGGAATGCAATGCATTACTTTTGCGGCCAACCAAACAACCCCTAAAATGTAAATGCATTCGTATTTTTTCCATTGCATTTGAAATTCTACCAATTGATTGTCTGAATTTAAAAAACCCTTACAAAAGGAATGCAACACATTTATTTTGCAGCGACTAAATAACATCTGAATGATTTTGTTAATAATAATAAAGTAATTAAATCCTCTTTTAATCTAATTAGACTGCCATAAGAAAGTATATAAATAATGTTTTGGAGTACAATTACAACCTCATTTTAAGGTGAAACAACAGCAACAGTTCTATCTTCCATTCTCTAAACTATCTTAAATAATCCACTCATAATGGGTGACAACATTTGTCTCATTAAGAATTGTTGGCAAATTATTTGTATTGTCTTGATGGGCATAGCTCGCAATTAATGAATTTTGAGAGGGGCTGTATGAATATAACTTCAAAAAATAAGGAAAATCAAGCAAAACTAATGTGCTCATACACCCAAAATATAAAATATATTATTTCCAATCGCAAAATCAATTACTGCAACATACAGAAAATAAATAAAAAATGCTACTTTTGTCCTTTCAGGGCTCCCTCATCGTTGCTCATAGCAACAAGGCCTAGATTACATACGATTAGGGGGGTAAACGGGGGGCCACCCGCACGAGGCCGACC